AACAGAAGTCATGTGAATGTGATGTCTCTCAAAATACCTTATTGTAAGTAATACTTTTGTCCTGCGCAGATCACCAAAACTGGGAAGCAAGATCGAGGCTAAGGGGGGACCTTCCACGGCACCCTGCCTCCCCTGAGGGGCCTTGGCACCCTGCCTCCCCTGAGGGGCGTGGAAGGCCCGGGCAGCTGGCCTGTTGGAAGCGTGTTGTGAAACCTCCTACGTTAGTGGCGGCAGAGATGAGAGGAAGGCAAGACAGCTGTTTTCAGATACTCAAAGGGCCCTTAGGTGACTTTTCGGTGTTGCTCCTGAAGGTGAACTTGGGACAAATGGGGAGCAGACAGGAGCAGACAGCTTTCGGTCTAAGAGAAGAAAGAACTCTCGCTGCCTCTGACCAGGCCCACACTGGAATGGGCTGATGGCTTGGAAGGAATGATCCCCACACTGGGGTCCCCAATGGCCGGGGACCCTTTCCAGCCCAAGATCTGCCCAATGCACGTAAGTGTAAGAAGAAATGGTTCAAAGGAAAAGTCTGCCTAGCCTTAGTTTAGTGAGACTGGCTTTCTGAGCATAGCTGTGCTTGCAGAATCCAGCCCGCGGCTATACCCCACCGACCAGGATGAACACCAGCAAAACATGTTTCTCTCATTCCCCGGTGCTTTCCGTGAGACTTCAACAACTATTGACTTCCACAAACAAAAGGGAAAAATCCTTTAACGTGTGACTCTGAACATCAAAGGAATTTGTCCAACTGAAGCTCCCAATCAGGTCTTCTGGTATGTTCTTATTCATTCCCTGGTTTAGGGATTAGGACACCTGACTCTATCTTTCCAAGTTATCAACTAATTCCTAAAAAGACCCTCTAGCTTACTGGAGGATAATCACTTCCAGTCAGGGGCCAATTTTGCAATGAGACAGCAATCCCGGTTCAATATATGAACTCAATCCAATCTGCAAACAGTGCTTTTCTTTCTCTAATGGGCCATTATATTACACCAAAGGGCGACTATGCCTTTTCTCTGAAAAAGGCTCTTTCTTCCAGAGATATATCTATGTCCAGCTAATTAGGCGAACACCTTCCCCACAAATGGTGAAACACTGTAAAGGTCTCCAGTTCTACAGTACTGTCTGATTAAGACATGCCAACTCGACATTAATGATTTTCTGTTCAATTATTTCAAGTAAACAGAGGTTGGCTACCTCATGTATACTGCTCAGGTCTAGGAGGGACTGAGGGCCGGGTGGATTCTGAGGGTTGGCCAGGATAATCTCTGAATAATCTGCAAACCTAGCTTGGGAAGAACAGAGGTGGATCGAAATTGATTCTTATCTTTCTCAAACTGTCCCAAAGCCCAGGTTGGCACTCTCTGTGTCTCACAGCAACAACTGGCAGAGGAAAGTGGAGTGAGGCGGGCATCAGAAGATAGCCTCGGTCCTTCTCTGGTCTAATTCCTTGGGGACCAGATGAGTTTAGAGGTGTTTTAGTCTGTTCCTTACCCTTTGACCCTGTAAAACAGACAGCTTGCCTACTTCACACAATTACTGTGAGGGTCCCGCTAGATGGGACAAGGCTGAGTTAGCAAACCATACTCTTCTAGAACACCAGGCCCTCAGGAGAGCCCCACGAGCCTCGGCTAAAGGAACAACCATTTCCATGCAACACAGCTTTGCTTTCTTCCTCTAATTGAGGCTGCCTGAGTGGTAACCTATGTTTTAAATTTGCTGTAAGACAAAGCTTTTGTTTGGTCACATGAAAATGCCTTAAATAGGCTATGCTATAATTAGCTCCAGCTTTAGTCTCGTCTCCTGAGGTCACTGCCGAGCTGTCATCTTTTTTTCTTTAGTAAACCCTTGCCTTCTCTTGTTCGAGGACGAGCTTCTTGCTCCTGTGCCCTTTCCAAAGAATATGTCCCTGGCTGGCTGGCTGGCTGGCTGGCATTGCTTTCTCTACCCACTTCCATATTAACTAATTTTTCCTCCACTATCCCCAGTTCTCTTTTTTTTTTTTTTTTTTTTTTGATAGAGGCATGCTTTATTTATTTGTTTGCTGGTTTGCTTGTTTGTTTTGTTTATACATGCACTGGGTACAGTCAGAAGCGCGGGAGGGTGAGAGAATTCACCAGAGCCAGAGCGGGGAGCAGAGCAGACAGAAGGACCGAAGTACACTGCTGAGGGGAGCAGCGGGCAGCAGGAGAGGTCTGCGCGCCATGTGGGACCCTCCTCCAGTGGCCGGGGAGCAGCCGGGGATCGAACCGGCGCCGCAGAGGCCGCAGGCAGCTTCGCAACCCAGCGCTCAACCGCTGCGCCACCGTATCCCCAGTTCTCTTGAAATGAAGGCAGATGCCGAAAACTGCTGGTTCATTTCAAAAGAAAACTTGACCTAAGCTGCTGTAGGCTGGCAAGAGGCTTCGTGCAGACACAAAGCCTAGGTTCACCCATCACCCACTGACAAACACTCGCAGCCGATTCCTGAGCTTCTCTGGCTGGGCCTGTGCATTACATGAAGCAGCTGCCAAAGTTCTTCTGTGCCTTGTCCCTCGGCAGATGACCCATTTCAAATCCAAGGGGCCCCAAATTCTCATTTGGCTCTTACTAGTTCGCAAAACTGGGCACTGCTTCCTTTGTACTCAGCTAATACTGATACTATTTCAACAGGAAGTGTGTGTGGGGGTGGTCATGCGGCAGGGTGTCTTCCTGGTGCCCAGTTATTTACAAAAAGGCCGATTACCTCTCTAATACTTAAAAACATTCAGCACAGGGGGCCTCCCTGGTGGCGCAAGGGGTTAAGATGCAACCTATGACGCAATCTGTAGCCTCTGCAGCAGAGTGAGTTTGATCCCTGGGCAGGGAGCAACTCACATGGCGCAGCAGACCTCTTCTGACTCGCCTGCTGCTCCCCTCAGCAGTGTATTTCAGTCAATCTGCCTATTCTGTTCCCCACTCTGTCTCTGGTGGATCCTCCCATGCCTCTGGCCTGTACCCCAGTTCTTGCATGCATAAATAAATCTTTAAAAAAAATTCAGCACAGGACTAACTTGCGCTCCTCAACATGTCATAAAGGAGAAGCATAGCTAGCTTGCTCTCCCCATCTCTCTCTAAGCTGTGTAACAACTTAATGTATTCAAAAGCTGAAAGAGATAGAGTTCAGACCAAAGCCACACTCCAGAGGCACACACACTAAAAGTGGAATGACACACAGATTAGCATGACCCAGTGCAAGCGTGACATGAAAATGCGAGAAGTGGTCCATATTAAAAAAAGAATTATTTCATTTCATGGAACTCACATAGTCACAGAATCAAAAGATTTTGGAGCCAACGTGACTCCAACGTGACTCCAGTGATAGGCGCCTTCTGGTTAATCAAAAAGGTTTTCTTTCCGTGCTGGAAAAGAAAAGCGATCACTTTCTCCTTATCTGCCCTTACAAATTTGCTGCCAAAAAAATGGGTTTAGATCAAGAGCAGATGTGCCCTGAGCTACAAGAACAGTGACTCCATTTGAGGCACAAAGCATGGTATAAACAGGAATACCAGATGCCCTCCCGCTGTGAGCCTGGCAGCATATGCCAAGTGGGCAGGTTTATAAAAACAGAGAGGTTCACCTAGCGCCCATCTCCCTGAGCCCACGAGACACACAGATCCTCTGAGTTTGCCATCCTATTTTTCCAAGTCACTTATTTGTCAGCTATGGATGGGAAGATGGGAACCCAGCTCACAACGCCATTTTGTGTAAAACTCACTTAAAAAAAATTTTTTTTAAAACATGTCACTCCACCTCTTGGACTTAACCCAGTGGTTCTATCTTGTGTGGTGCTGCCCGCCCTTCGGCCTCCCTGGCTCATCCTAAGTGAGTGAAATACCCGGGATGTGGACCCAAAATCCCCTGGACCTGAGTTAGAAACCCCTTACGTCTATCCATCTGAGCAACAAACAGGTTGAATTCACTGCCGTTTTACTAGATTTCGTCACACTTGGCTACGAGTCTTGAATTGTTGTATGTGCGAATGGGCCAAAAGAACTTTGATGAGAACTAGGTTACTAGGTGAAGTACTTGTAGCCCTCCTCCAGGTTGGAAAGCAGGCTAAGGGGAGCGGAGCGACAGCTACAAATTCAGACTGAGAAACCCACCAGGAGAGACTGAAGGGGAAGAAAGAGCCTGGGCTCCATGGAAGGGGAAGAAAGAGCCTGGGCTCCATGTCCTTAGACAGAGAAGCGAGCGTTTCTCTTCTGGCAGGCCCAGGGTGGCCACCTGTTTCCCCTTGCACCTTAGCAAAGCGCCCACTCCAGCATGAGACTGTTCCTCCCCGTGATATTCACTTTTAGGAAGAATTTACCCCTTGATTCTTCCCCCTAATCTGCAGCCCTGCCCTGCAGGGCCCGTGCTCCCGTCTTCTGGACAAGCATGGCCGTGAGGATGAGTCCAGCCTGAGAAAGAACTGTCAGTCCTCACCACCCACATCCTTACCCTCCCGCCTGAAAACCCAGTTCCCATTTTTCTCCCAACTCCCACATGCTTCTGAGAGGAACCAGATCGGGGCCCTCCGCTGGCATGGAAACGGGGAGAAGAAGGGAGGCGCGCAGGAAAAGTATGAGGACCCGGCCCATGGGGTGGGGAGGGTTGGGGGGACCGTCCAGCTCAGCCTTGGGGTCAGGAGGGAGGTGACAAAAGGCGGACGTGGCTTCTACTTTGGGCAAAGCCCAACGGCCTTTTCACCACCAGAAAGCTGCGACAGTGACCTCCTGTGCCACTCGGCGCTGATCCCCCGGCCCCGGCGCCCACAGAGGTCAAGAAGGACCCCACTCCCGCCAGGGCGTACACGGGGCGTCCACCTATTCCTCAAGGGGTCCCACCCAGTCCACGACGTCGACCGCCAGACCTGCCAAGCCTCGAGGGGCCGCCGGGGCCTGGCGGGCAGAGCTGTCACCCCCGCCCAGGCCTGACAGCCCGGGGCGCGCAGGCCCCCCCGTCCCCCCACCCCCGCGCGGCCGGAGCGCGTCGCCTACCCGGAGCTCGCCCTCCGTGCGGTGCAGTCCCAGGCGCCGCAGCCCCACGGCCAGGTCGTTGACACAGAGGCCGCCGTCGCGGTTGACGTCGAGCGCCTGGAAGAGGCTCCAGAGGCGCAGCCGGTGGTCCGGGCCCCCGCAGACGGCGCCGCCGCACGGGTCCCCCACGGAGGCGGGCGACGAGGCCGACGCGGCGGCGGCGTCCGGCGGCGGGAGGCCACGCAGCGGCACAACACGCTGCTCACCATCGGGCGCGAGGCGGGGGCGCGGGCGCGGGCGGCGGGCCGGCGGCGAGGGCGCGGGGACACGCCGGGGCCCGAGAGCGCGAGCGCGGGCTCCGCGAGGCCGGCAAACCGGCGGGAGGGGCCGCTTCCGGGAGCCCCGCCCCGGGGCGCCACGCCCCCGGACACGCCCCCGGCGTGGCAACCGACCAATCGCAGGCAGGACAGCGACCCGAGGGGGCGGGGCCTCCCGGAGGGCGGCCCGCATTGCCCGGACTACCCGGATCAATGGAGGGGGCGGGGCCAACCGGGCTCAACCCGGGGCCGATTCAAACTGAGGAAAGCGGGGATTGGCCCAGTCGGGACGGAGGGCGGCAATCACGCTGCGATAGGCTCGGGCGACGTGATTGGCAGGCGGAAGGCCCCGTGGCCAATTTCCATTGAGAAACGCTGCTTAGACGGCGGCGCGGCGGGGACGGGAGGGGCGCGCCTGGACGGAGAGATCGTAGGTCTCGCTGGGAAACGCGATTTGTGTGAGAGACTGTGAGCGTTGCTTTGCGAGGCAGATTTTATGCCCGCGTTGGAATTAAAAATTAATCGGCCAACAGCTCCAGGGCGCAAGCGTTGGGTATCCGCAGGAGGCCGAGTTCGGGTCATCTCACTTCCTACCGCCAATAAAATAGCTGAATTTAGCGGTGTAATAGGCGTAGAGCCGGCGAGTGAACGACAGACTGATGTTCCAATGGAAGGGGAAGGCGGTCATGTGGGCGGAGCGTCCTATAGCGACGGACACACCTTTAGGCCAATGATCAGGCGACTTGCAGTGAGGGGGCGTGATCTTCGGGTGAGCAACAAGGAGAAGGAGCCAATGAGGAACGTGATAAGTGAGGCGCAACCAACCCTTCCCCTGGAGAAGCCCTGGAAGGCGGGACGAGGGGAAGTGGGCGGATCTCCGCACACCCCGGCGGAAGAGGCAGATTCAGGAAGCCATTACGCAGCTGGCTGGCCGCGGCTGGGCCGGTCGGGACTGGGCCCTACGCACTTTGCGTAGCGAGGGGGGTTCCCAAAGGCCTGGGGCTTGGCTTTGGTCAAGCCCGGCCTATCCCCTAAAGGGGGGGTGGGTGAGGGGCAAGGCTGAGGAAAAAGAGAAGGGGAATTGGGACGGTTGAGGGGGATTATAATTTCTTTGAAAAGAGGGTTGGGGAGAGGCTATGGCCGTCCCGGCCAAGAAGAGGAAGATGAACTTCTCGGAGCGAGAGGTGGAGATCATCGTGGAAGAGCTGGAACTGAAGAAGCACCTGCTGGTGAACCACTTCAACGCTGGCGTCCCTCTGGCTGCCAAGAGCGCGGCCTGGCACAACATCCTGAGAAGGGTCAACGCTGTGGCCACCTGCCGCAGGGAGCTGCCTGAGGTCAAGAAGAAGTGGTCAGACCTCAAAACCGAGGTCCGTCGCAAGGTTGCCCAGGTCCGGGCAGCCGTGGAGGGTGGCGAGGCACCAGGGCCCACTGAGGAGGATGGAGCTGGTGGGCCTGGGACAGGTGGTGGCAGTGGTGCTGGCGGCCCAGCTGTAGCCCCTGTGCTGCTCACCCCCATGCAACAGCGCATCTGCAACCTGCTGGGCGAGGCCACCATCATCAGCCTGCCCAGTACCACGGAGATCCATCCCGTGGCCCTCGGACCCACGGCCACTGCAGCCGCAGCCACGGTCACCCTGACACAGAGTGAGTGACCTCTCTCGCCCAGTTCAGCGTACATAAATGGGAAGGGCCAGCAAGAGCTGGGGCAGCCTGGGGAAGGTTGATTGTCAAGGGTTAAAAGTCAGATGGGAGTCTTAGAAGACCACGAGGGCTTCCAGAAACTTCCCAGACAGAAGTGATCTTGTTCTCTTTGGGACGTCCCTCAACACGCAGTCTGGACTTCTGACAGGCTGGGCTGCTCTCAACTGTTTTGCCACCATTTCATGTCCATGACTGAACTGTGTGGTTCTTGGCCATGTCTGTATCCCCACAGGACTTAGCACAGGGTCTGCCACATAGGAGGCAGTCAAGACATAGCTGTTGAATGACTAAATCTACAGGAACAATAATTCCTGAGTTAGATATCAAGCCTAGACTGAGACAGCATGGTTTTCAGCACAGCGAACATCAGCAGGCTGTGCTCAGGAACCCCATGGTTCCCGGCGTTAATGTACTTATTCATCCACTCATCAAACATGAACACTGTCAGACCCTGTGCCTGGCACTGGGATTACCGAGGTCTCTAAGATATAGGCCAGTTACACTCCAGTAGGACAGACAAGACACATGTGAACAACCACACTACCCATTGGAAGAACCTAAGGACTCGGACGAGGAAGGGGCTTCTTGGAGGAGGGTAGGTGGGGGCACACGGTTGATGATGGCACTGAGGGTGGAGAGTCACCTTTTTCACCTGCATGGAGGCCCTGACAGTCCACCTAGAATCCCTTCAAAAGTTCTCAGCTATGAACGACAACGGAATTTACTTTGGTTTGACTTTTTAGTTTAAGGTTTTGTGCCAAGGCCTTTTCGTGGCTCCTTCGTGATGGGCAACGAGCTGTCTGATTCTCAGTGGGGCGTGCGGGGAACCCTGTGTGAGTGCCCCCTTCCCCAAGGGGTCACATTTCTCAAGGTCAGTGAGGTGGGAAGGCAGACACTGGTCTGTATCAGTTATGGAACAGAAAGGAGCTTTAGTCTTGCATTGACCCAGGTGATCAAGGAGATGGGAGGCATTTATTGGGTACTTTGGCTATGGCTGCCCTTCTCCCACATTCTCCTCTGCGTGACCAAAGGGACATCAAAAAGGTAAGGCGGCTGTAGACAGTTGTGTGGAGTCCTACCCCGCAGCTGCTGGTGCTACGGGAGCACATGGCCCTGCCTGTAGCAGCTAGAGGCAGCCCGGTGGGGTATTATGAGTGCATTGGACTCTGGGGCTGGGGAGACCTGGGTGTGCTTCCTGGATCTGCTGAATAAGCACTGTGACCTCAGGCAAGGCACTCCACGTTCTGAGTCTCTGCAAATGAACATGACAGGGAGTCTTCCTCATCATGAGGACTGGGAGAGCTAACGAGCGTGAAGGGCTTAGCACAGTGCCTGGCACCTAGTAGGTGCTCTGAGTTTCTTGCTAGCCTTAGTATTAGCATCTTTGCTTTTGCCAGATCTGGGGCTGGCCCATTGATTACTAAGTAGATTAGGATTATGAACCCCTTAGAGTCTAGACTTACATGTGAATACCTATAATGTCAGGGGAGGCCTGAATTCCCAGAACAGAGCTCAGTGGGCTCCTCTCTACCCCTGGGGAGCTTTATTCTTTCTAGAAAGTGACCTGGTGCTGCCTTTGCTTTCTTCCTCACAGTCCCCACAGAGACCACCTATCACACACTGGAGGAGGGGGTGGTGGAATACTGCACGGCCGAGGCACCCCCACCCCTGCCGGCCGAGGCGCCTGTGGAGATGATGGCTCAGCACGCCGAGACCTCTGTCAAGCCACAGGCGCTCAAGAGTCGCATCGCCCTCAACTCAGCCAAGCTGATCCAGGAGCAGAGGGTCACCAACCTGCACGTGAAGGAGATCGCCCAGCACCTGGAGCAGCAGAACGACCTGCTGCAGATGATCCGCCGTTCCCAGGAGGTGCAGGCCTGTGCCCAGGAGCGCCAGGCCCAGGCCATGGAGGGCACCCAGGCGGCCCTGAGTGTCCTTATCCAGGTCCTCCGGCCCATGATCAAAGATATCCGCCGCTACCTGCAGAGCAACACGCCCAGTCCGGCTCCTGCCTCTGACTCGGGACAGGTGGCCCAGAACGGGCAGCCAGACGGCATCATCCAGTGAGGGCTGCCCGGCTCGCCTTCTGCTGTGATTGGATGACACTACCTTGGTCCTGTAAGTGGGCTCCATGATTGGACAGCTCCCTCTTTGATAGAGATGTGGGGGTACCCTGTTTCTGAGAAATGAAGGAGACTGGGAAGAGGAACTTGTTGGGTTCCTGGGACCTGTCAAATCCTACCACTTGAGCTGCCTTGCTGAGAACCCCATGATTGACTAGCTGGGGGTCAGGCCTGGGGATGACACGTATTGTCATGTGCTGGGCTTGTGTCTAGGACGGCTGTCAGGAAGGCTCTCACTTGGGGGTCTTCACACAACTGGGGCTCACTGCTGAGCCATCTCCCCCCCCACCTCTCGGGGTGCCATCCTTTTGAGTAAGATAATGGCAGTGGCGCAGTAAGAGCTACTACCTCCCTCGGGAGAGAGTGACTGGGCCGAAAGAGGAAACCCTTTTCCCTTCTCACTGTGCCTCAGTTCTCAGGGGACTCTAGTCAATGCCGTGCTCCCCCAACCCCACCCCACCCAGCAGGGGCCCTGACTACCAATATACCTGCCAGCTGGGCTCAGGAATGTCATGTGCTGTGGGGATGGCTTGGCACCATCTGATCTTCCCCGGTGTCCCCTGGACTGCCCTCAGGTCAAACAGCAGGCTGCTGTCAATCTAAGAGAGTCAACCCAGGTGGAAACATCTTGCCCCTCTGCAATGGGAGGTGAGCTGTTGGCTCTGTCCAGAAGGCTGTTTCAAGCCAGTTGTATTTATTCTGTCTGAGAACCCCTCCTGGGAAAGCCTCCATGACCTCTGAAGGCCGCTCTGCAAATTCAAAAAACTGGGTGCCCAGCACCCCCTGGAGCCCTTTGACACGCTATGCAGCGCCTGTGTTCTGATGAGACCCCCCACTGACTTTTGTGGTATCTGGAGACCTGACTGGCCCTCAGTATGTGAGCGGGGAGAGTCAAAGCGCCAAGAAGTGGGACCTTGGATTTCTGTGCTGGGGAAGAGCAGGCCCACCTCAGGGTGCTGCTGCAGGAGGTGGTATTCCCTGTTTGTCTAGATGATTTCTCCCCATTTGTAGGGAGCCAACCCGGATGGCATTTGTCTGTTTCATTTTCAGAACCGCCATTGATTACTGAGACCCTGCGTCCTCCCGGGTTGTTTCTCAGTTTGGTCCTTTTGCTGCCGGTGCCCTGGCCAAATGTGACCTGAGGGGTAAAGCTCCAGGCTCCAGATCGCAGCTAAACACAGAGGGTGCCGACCTTGTGGGCAGGTTTGTTTAGAATTGCTCGCCTCCACCGTTGCCATCCTGGGAAGATGCCCCCGAAGACGGTTGGGATGTGACTGTTGTCCCACCAGCCTGGAGGGTGCAGGCAGTGCCAGCTGCAGAGAGCTGGAGAGAAATCGAGCCAGAGAGGAGTTGGGTGGCAAAAGGAAAGCCCTTCTCACTGTGACTGGAAAGCAGCAGCTCCTGGCACCCCAGGCACCCTGCCGCCATGGAACCTGATGGCTCTTCAGGAGAGCTGTGGGGACCCCCCTGAGGTTTCCCCACTGGGTTTGGTGGTTCTTTGGGGTTGGAAATCTGAGCCAATATTGTATCTGTTCCAATTGGGTATAAAGAGGAAACCTGGATCACTTCTATTGGTTCCTTCCAGGTCATAATTTTAAATTAAAGAAATACTACCGTTTTTCATACCCATCTGTGTCTTTATTGAGTATATGGTAGAGGTATTGTTGTAGAGCAACCCCGATACAAAACGGGGTGCCTGACTGTGGGTCCTCACCCGCGCGCTTAAAAGGACTTATCAATGCTCTACTGCAGGCACACGTGAAAGGTTAATAAAAGGTTTATTTACAAGGGAAAGGAAAATAAGAAAATGTACAGCTCTGGGAGAAAAGTGGGAGACAAAGTTTTAAATGAGTCCTACCCGATCCGCTGATCAGAAATCCCAAAATGGCGCTCTGAGAGCTGGCCGCCAGCCAGGAGCGGTGAAGCCAGGAGGCGAGCGATCGCGAGCCAGAGAGCGAGCAAGGCCCACGTGTTTGGTTTTTATATCCAACCTGGCTGCCCAACTCCACCCTCAGGTCCCAGCCACCCTCCCCTTGGTGGTGATGGGATTTGTCTTTCCCAATGTCCTGATGGCTTTAGTCTGGAGTGGGGGTGGAGTCCACAAAGCCTGTATGAGATTATCTCAGGACATCCTTTCCCCCTAACAGTATGAGCTGCCAGAGAGCACAAGCTGGCACACTGACCTGCAGATCCAATTCGGCCCGCCACTTTTTTTTTTTTTTTTAAAGATTTATTTATTGATTGATTGATACAAGCACTGGGTGTACAGTCAGAAGCGTGGGAGGATGAGAGAATTCACCAGAGCCAGAGCGGGAAGCAGAGCAGGCAGAAGGACCGAAGTACACTGCTGAGGGGAGCAGCGGGCGGCAGGAGAGGTCTGCGCGCCATGTGGGACCCTCCTCTGGTGGCCGGGGAGCAGCCGGGGATCGAACCGGCGCCGCAAAGGCTGTGGGCAGCTTCGCAACCCAGCACTCAACCGCTGCGCCACCGGGGAGGCCCTCGGCCTGCCACTTTTATTTATAAATAAAGTTTTATCAAAAGACAGTCACATCCTTCATTTACATGATGTCGTTGGCTGTTCTCCTGCCACAATAGCAGGAGCTGAGAGTGGGGAGGAGAGGGAAATATATCAGAGTTGGGTGACTGTGACACAGACATCTAGTCCACAAAGTCAAAAGTACAGTCACGCATCTCTTACAGACCCAGATATGCGCTGAGAAATGCATTGCTCGATGATTTCATCGCTGTATAAAAGTCATAGTGTGTAATTACACAAAACTATATGGCCTGGTACACATCCAGGCTTTATGGTACAGCCTATTGCATATGCAGTCATTAAATAATTCTTGCCTTTATTACTCTCTGTCCCTTTATAGCAAGTCTGCCTCTTCCTGGCTTAGGGCTGTGTTTCAGACTCTGGATGAGAATTGCCTGTGGTGTTACACTTACCCCATCCCTGACTTCACCCAAAACCTAGAATTAGAGGAAAGGAGCACTCTAAGAGTAAGCATTGTAAAAGCTCTGGGTGATTCTGGTGTTCCCTGAAGGGTAAGAACTTTGGCGCAGACACCGGAAGACTTTGACTCAGCTGGGACACAGGTCACCCCCAGGCAGAGCTGGTTCCCAGGAGTTTCTTCCGAGTAACTGAGAAGTCCCCCCTCCCCCAGCAGATTCTCATGAAGACTCTCCTTTTTTCTGGAAGGATCCCACCCATGCCAGGACGTGGTTATCTCTCTCTCCTGTGTTTAGTAATAATACAAATTGACCATTTTTAAGCCTCTACTCCGCCCAGCTCTTATAAGCCTTACCTCATTGACTCTTTGCAACAGCCTGAGGAATTAGGTGCTGACTTTGTTCTGTTTATGTCTATGGGCACCCCCCATCAGAAAAGTTAAAGAATTTGCCTGAAGTCACACAGTTATCTTACTCCCTGGGATGACCAGCACTCAACTTTTTTTTTTTTTTTTAAGATTTACTTACTTATTTATTTAAGTACTGGGTACAGTCAGAAGCGTGGGAGGGTGAGAGAATTCACCAGAGCCAGAGGGGGGAGCAGAGCAGGCAGAAGGAGCGAAGTACACTGCTGAGGGGAGCAGCGGGCGGCAGGAGAGGTCTGCGCGCCATGTGGGACCCTCACCCGGTGGCCAGGGATCGAAACGTTACTGCAGAGGCTGCGGGCAGCTTCACAACCCAGCGCTCAACTGCTGCGCCACGGGGGAGGCCCAGCGCGCTTAACTCTTAGCTGCTCTGACCTTGCTGCTGAGGAGAGGCGGAATCCCCTGGAGACAATATGAACCTGACCTTCAGGAGTTTCCAGGTTAAAGGAGGGCTTCCTGAGAGGCAGCTGGAGCTGTTGTTTGTCTGGCACTTGAGCGGGAACACAGCCACCTCTCCCACTCTCAGACTACGCTGATGCTAAAGGAAAGAGAATGACTTAACATCTAAACCCAGGGTGGCTCGAAGGTGCCAGTCGAGGGCTTTCACTTATATTGGGGTGATTTTTTTTGAGTTGTCAATCTAGAAAGACAGGAAGCAATTAAAAAGGCAAAGTACATTTATTTGGGATCAAATAATTGCAGTTCAGGCTACATGGATTTAGGAAGATGTTGGGTAAGTGAATCAGGCTTTTTACGCCACTAGCCTCTGTAGCTATCACCTGTGGCTTTTATTGTGCTAATGCTGGAGGCGCTTGGGAGCATGGGCTTGGGGCACGCATGCCTGTGTGTGGACACCTGGAGCAGGGGTGTGGGCATGCTTAAGTGTGCACACCTGAGCCTCGAGGTCAGGGCTATAAGGGCAGCGTCATCAGGGGAAGATGGCAGCTAGAGGACATGTGACTACAGAAGGGGCGAGGTCACCAGAGAACACCAGAGAGCCCAGAAAAAACAAAGATTCACCGGGGCTGGGAGTCCTGCCAGCCTCCCGGCCCCCTGCCTTGCCAGTCTGCCGTCTTGGCACTATAGTAGAAAACCTAAAATGGGCCCCACAGAGGGGATAAAGCTGTGTGTGTGTGTGTCTCGGGGTGGTTATGGGAGGAAAAGAACAAGGTGAGGCGCGAAGTTAAGGGAAGGAGTTGATTGGTATTACTGAGGCTCGACTTCCCGGGCTGCGCGTCCCTGCTTACCGGTTCTCTGGCAAAGATGAAAAGGGCACTGGCTGAGTCTCTTCTCGCTAAAAGTCCATAATCTTCAAACAATTGCTTATGGTTTCTTACAACAATTGCTTTATGACCCAGCCAAAGGTCTTTGACCTAGTTCAAAGGAGACAGGTGATGTATTTTCTCTGTAATGGCTTCACAGGTGTGACCTTTTTCAGAGCCCTTCCTGAAATGTGGAGCTTTACATAAAGAAATCGTCCCGGCCGCTGGCCCTTGCAGCTCCCACCAGTGAAACCTCTAACACTTTACGCCATCTTGATGGAAGTCTGTCCCCAAAGGGGTCGGGGTGAAATGCATTTTCCCAGACTGTACAACAGCCTCCGAGGCCATAGGTCCCAGTTTTCTCAACTCTAAAATGGGGGTGCTGAGTCAGAGTACCTACTGGGAGGGTGCTGTGGGGATTCGAGGGGAACAGCTACCATGTGCTGAGTACTTACCTGCAGAAAAGACTGTTCGAAGCACTGTAAGTGTCAACTCATTTCTCGAGGTCAGGACTGAGCATAGGCAGGGGACACAGAAATACTGGCGTGATCATTATCAGACCCAGATACCCCAAGGGTAACTCTCGAGTCTTTTCCTGAGATCACAAGAGAAGCTTTGTCTAAGGCGGTTTGAACCAGATTACAGATGTAGCCCTAAAACTATAAAGTGGCACGGACACAGGGAGCAGAGAGCAGGAAGGAGACAGGGCCAACCAGGCCTGGGAAGCAAGGCCCACAGGGGCAGAGCTGGGTGCCAGGGTCTCCTGCTCCAGGTGCTCTGAATGAGGCTGTGGGAGCCCCCTGTGAGGAGCTGAGCTGCCGCGTGTCTTGGAGTCCATTGAGGCAAGCAGCCAAAATGAGAGTAAGAGCCTGTGACCACTCCCACCTGCTCAGGTGTAAGCGAGAGGACAAAGCTCCCCGGCCCCTCCCCCCAGTGTCTGTTTCCCCCACCGTTCTGCTCCAGACAAGTCAGATATTTCAGATGGGGCGATCATCATACTCACTGGGAACCCCAATATAAAGCTCTTGTCTTATGGACAGACTTGTGTGTGTTTGGGGGGGTGGGGCAGCCCACTAGGGCTGTAGGAGTGGAAAAGTACTGAGGACTGACTCAGAGCAAAGTTTCTCCCTCTCTCTCAGATAAGGAAGTCTTGGCAGAGGCACCGGGGAAGGCTTCGGTTGACAGCCTCCAACAAAGAGGCCTCTGGATGGAGGCACCTGAGCCAGGGATGCAGAGCTCGCCAGCAGCGGAGGGTGGGGGCAGCACGAGGCTGGCCACGTACCACCATGGGAATGGCCTCTGGTTGGTCCTGAAAGATCACACGTGGCTTTGTGACAAAGAATGCCAGGCCTCTGGAGTCCGCCTGCTTCATATTTATCGGCTGTGGGTCCTGGCAGGGAGGGGGCCCTTTAATTTCCCCTGAGCCTTGACTTCTCGGCTACAAAGCCAGCTGTGATGACACTGATGTGCTCACGGTGGCCTCTCGTGGCCAGGCACGCAGTGATTGCTCAACAGCGGTAGCTGCTTGTTGCAGTGATTGATCGCTGGGTAACAAACCTCCCCACCACTTAGTGGCCCTAAAACAACAATCTTTTATTTGCTTGTGACTTTGCAGCTTGCGCAGGGCTTGGAGGAAGCAGTGTGTAGTTTTCTGTCATCAGCTGGGGTGGGGTAGGGTGGAATCTTTTAAGATGGCTTGAAAGGTGATGCAGTCTTGCAACATGTCTTGGAAGCTGAAGCTGCATGTTGGCAGAGAACTGAGCTGGGACCGTCATCTGGCGGGGGTCTGCTCCCCATGTATGGGTTCCCTTGCAACATGGTGGCCAGGCTTCTGATCGGAAGAAAGTGGCAGCTACAGTCCTCTTAAAGGGTGGCTGGGATCTGGCAGGGCGTTACTTTGTCATGCTCTCTCGGTCATGCCCTCGCAGGCCAGTCCAGCCCGTGGTGCTGGGGGAACACACTCCACCTCTTGATGGAGTCACGGCCTGTGCACACG